AGATTCTGCACATCTGGGAACACAAGGAACAAAACACCCTAACAATTAGATATCTTATGTGAGAGGAACATGAAGACATGACCAATTGCTTTCTTGAGTTAAACTGCGAGTACCAAATGAAAAGCAAATTAGTTACAGATGTTCAGTACACTGAGATTAATTTTATCCCCAGAGGAACCATTTCCTTAGCTTCCTGGACTAACAGCAATTTGTTTCCAGGGAAGTGAGTATGTGTCAAAGCCAAGCAGCAAAGTTAAGTAAGTTTTTCCATATACATGTATTTTGAAACTGCATAGAAGTTTCTAAAAAAAAAAATCTCTAGCATTTTTGTTAATAGTGAGTTTCTATTAAGTAACATAAAATTCATTTTACCAAGACATGTTAGACATTATGTTAGATTTAGGGGATCCAAAAAGAAATAAAACAAGGTTTTTGCCTGGAGCTCCAGTCTAGCAGAAAAGCACAGTAATGGGGCTGTAATAGAGAGATGAACAAAATCCTATGGGAACATGAGTTTTTCCTACTAATAAACCTAACAGGATAACAATATTGTTTCCTATCACCAAACTATAAAAGCATAATAAGTAACATATGACAATTTGTTGATCTTCACAGGTCAAGAGTAACATATGAAAATAAGTAACATATGAAAATTTGGTTGATCTTCACAGGTCAAGAGTAAAATTGACTATACATTATGATAGTTGATATTTTATGAAACATCTACTGTAAGGCAGATGGGTCAACTTTTAGAATCTTTTTTGTATTCCAACATAGTACCTATTATACAGTAGTTTCAACCTACATTGAATAAACGGGTATACGCACATATACATCAATGTTGATGATTACACAAACAGTACACTTCTGAGTTCAGAGATACCAAAATTAAGAGGGATATATACTTGAAAAGAATATTTAATATCCAATATATAACCAAGATTCATTAAACAAAAGGAAATGAAGTTACACAGGAATTGGAACTCAAAATACCTATCCATAACAGACATATGTGATTCATTTCTTTCATATTCTTTCCAAGTATATAATGTCTCCATAGAAGACATCTGACAAATACTTTTGAATCAGTACTTGCACATCAACAATACACATCACATTCATCCTCTCTACTGGCCTAAACTATAACAGCTTTCTATGTACCTCCATTTTTTTATTTCAAAGTAACTTTGGTTACCATATTAGTCTCCCTAAAATATTTTGATCATATAAATTTTACTTTCAAGATTACTAAGTGGCTCCCTAGTGTTCAGGATCTTCCATTAAAGAAATTCTGGCACTAGTACACACCAGATACTACATGGCTGAAACTTCATGAACTTGTGCTGGCAAAATCAATTATCCATATGTTTCAAAATAAGAATGGACCCCTGCACAAAATCAAGTTGTCACACATTAAAATATACAAATGTGAAAGAAAATGTAGGATAACTTTTTCAACAATCTTTAGTCTCCCAGCTGTTGTTTACTGCTGGGTTTGTTAGAGGCCCACCGTGTACAAGGAAGCTTTAGCAATCTGCTAGTGACTTATGAGGAATGTGTTTTCAGGTTTCGGGTTCCTTTTCTGCAGTTCCCCTCAGTCAGTGACTTTGGCCTTTAACTTCCAGCCACTACCAGTATTTTCCAAATCTGCCTTGGTTTCTTCAACCTTTTGCATTCTAATTTGGAAAATGCCTTAAAGGAAAAAGCCAGGATGATTGTGTTGCTCATTTTAACTGCTTCCCTTCTCTGAAAGACTATAGTCTCTTAGATCCTGCCCATGTTGATTGTTCCCACTGACTTCAAAGTACCTGTTTTGTTCAGATTTTAAAGATGTTTTTGGAAGGCAGGCTAATCCAAAATAAGTAGGCCCAGAAATAAAATATATTATGAAAGTCTCTTGGTTTCTTATTTTTTGATTCCTTCCTTTTACCTTTAAACATTCCATTGATGGTTATTTTATGTGTCTGAGGACATTCCGTAGGTGGTTAATTCATATTGTATCTCTATGATACCAGTATCTAATGTTTTTCATATACTGAATCTGCTTCTGCCAACTCAGTCATCTGCAGTCTCATTCTGCTAACTGCTTCCTACATGTTGGGTGATCTTTCCTTATGTGTTTGAAGATCATGTTAGGTTTAATATGGAGGAATCCATAAATGTTTGGAGATTATTATAATTTATATGTAGATGTCCCTCCAAAGACTTATGGACTCATAGATGGGGCTTTTGGGAGGTGACTGGATCACTGGATTAGTCCACTGAAAGTTTTATAGCTGCATGTGAAGTCTAGTGGGAATAGGTGGATCACTGTGGGTGTGGCCTGCGAGGGTTTATCTTTCTCCTCCTCCTCCCTTGATCCCTTTTTTCTTCCTGCTTGCCATGCCATAAGCTTTTTCTCCTTTGCCCTTCCCCTCTGCCATGGTGCCTGGCTTTGGAGCCAGCTAACTGTGGACTGAAAATTCTACAAACTGTGAGCCAAAATAAACCTCTTCTCCTGTAACTTGTGGGTGTCACGTATTTTGCCCCAGCAATGTCAATGAAACTAAGACAGATTGTTTTGTTCCTGAATGTGGTGGGATCCTGGAAGTTTAAACTGAAGACATTGTCTCTAGAAGTTGTGTTGGTGTTTGCTCAGAAGCAGAATGTGTTACAGACTTGAGAGATATTATCTCCAACTATTTTTTGAAAATTATTTCTAGATTATTCAATGTCTTTTTCCTGCCTGGTCTGTACTTTTTCTGATTTCTTAATAATGGTTCTTTATATGAAGCACAAGACCAAATATAACATTGTTTTGGTTGGGCAGAGCCAAATATTAAAGCATCAGTGCTACCCTTGTTCTGGAAATTCTGCTAGTGCGAGTACAGCACAAAGGTACCTTGCTGTTCTTCGTAAGCAGGTAAGAGCAAACTGCAGCAAAGAAAGGGGGGAAATATATAACTGTCAGATACAGAAAAGAACATAAAACTTGTTCTTTATAAAATCAACTATGTAAGTTCTAACTTACAATTCTGCTTCTTCTTTGATATGATAAAAACAATTACAAAATTCAACCAATAAATTTAAGTTAAAAATTCAAAATGGAAACAAAAAGAAACAATACACTGCACCTTATAAAGAGACTTACAGCCATGTGACTGGCTGTATATTTCCCTTTTGTCAACAATTTTGGTCCTGTTTTCTTCCTAAAGATTGTTAGATCATTAATTTAAATTCTCACATAATATGTTTGCTGTTGCATTCCTCGGACCTACATTTTTTTTTAATTTTAGTTGTTTTTTTATTAGAATATGTTTGTGATACATAATAATTATGTTCACCTTGGGGAACTGGTACATACACATATTGCATCTTTCTTTTCTGTCTTTTTGAAACAAGGTCTCACTATGCAGTTCAGGCTGGCCTTGAACTTACTTTGTAGCCCAGGCTGGCCTCAAACTTGCGGAGATCCTCCTGCCTCAGCCTCCCAAGTGCGGGGATTAGCGGTATGAACCACCACATGCAGCCTTCCACATACTGCATCTTAATACTTTCTTACTTCCCTGTGTCCTCAGGCTGCCTGTCATTCCCCTCTCTCCACTCCACCTCCAAATGCCCTTCCGGTCTCCCAGAAGTGCACCTCCCTGTTTCCTATCATCTTTTATTTTGTTCTTTAAATTATTTATATTTTAAGTTTTTCACATAAAAGAAACCGTGAGATATTTAACTTTCTTTATTTCACTTAACATTATGGTCTTAAGGTGCATCCATTTTCCTATAAATGACTCAAATTCCAACATACATTTTTGAGGGTGAGTTTTACACCTATATGAATCACAGTGAAAAAAATCTAAAGGGTATCAAATTTTAATATTAAGGCCATTCTCAATCTAAACTGTTTTTTAATGATAAGTTAAATGAAGGTACCTCTTTTGAATGCATAATTTTACCAGCTGACAAGCTTAGGTGAGAGGTTATAAATAGTTGGGCAGAAGTTAATCTGAGATTGAAAATGGGGAGATTTTTTAAAAATTACTATAATAAAAAGCAAATTCAGGAGAAGTAACTTTGGAAATAACCTGACAGACCCAGCTGATGACAGCTTGTAACCAGCATATTCAGTTGTATATCTTAATGTCAGCCTCTTTTTATGCATTCAACGAATGAAAAGGTATTTTTCTAACCCCTCAATTAATCAGCTTTATCTGGCCACATTTTTTTAGTGGGAAATAACTCTAATACTTTCTGGTGGATCTAACTCATTTTCATTGCTTTTTATTCCAAAACCACAGAAGTTTAAAATAACAACAAAAAACTCACGATGCACTGGATATGTATCTTATAGACCAACATTTTAAGGACAGGAAAATAGGCAGATATTTAACTTAAAGGTTTTCCATTTCGCATATCTTTTGATGTTTTTAATCTTAAAGCTCTGTGGATTTTGACAATGTCTTTAAAAATTTGTAATCATCGATACTGGCAATATAATTATAGGTTTTTAAAGACCTTAAAAAACACTCAGAAAACAAATGTCTTTATGGAAGCATAAAAGGCATATATTTCAAAAGAGACTGTAATTTTTTATTATAAAAGTAATAAATCATTAAAGAAGAAAAATTTAAACAGTGAAAAGTACAATTCATATGTATTTCCAATATTTAAACATGACCACTATCAACCTTTTTGTATATTTCTTTTTAGGTTTTATTTTTCTCTATGCATAAATTTTTAATTCACTTTAGTCATGGTGTACATATAATGCTCTTCCCTGTAAACCTTGGATATATTCCAATGAATTAATTCCATTTCTTGTCGAATTTAATCAAGTAAATATAGCCACTGAGAGGTATTTGTGCTTTACTCTCTAAACTTTCAGAACTGCTTTTAAAGAAAACATGAAGACTTACAGCTGTGTATTTGTGATCTGTTTATTACCTGTCCATTGCATCGTTCCAATAATCAACTAAAAAATATCTCACAGTAGGGTCACTCTTCAGGGTAATTTCACTTCTCACCTTTTGAGCTGCAAGATGGAGGGCCGTTCTCTGGCTGTGGTCAGTTTTATTGACATCTGCTCCTGCTTTCAGGAGAGCACCTGCACAGTCCAGTCTGTCGGCCAACACACAGTACATAAGTGGTGTCCTCCCAAATTGGTCTTCTTTGTCTTTAAGAGCAGAGTTTCCTACAAGAAACAGACAGTGGTATTTGATAGTTGTTGTTACTAATATAAGCAGAAACTATATTTACTAAGTGCTTATTATTAAGCACAATGCTAAGTACGCTATACGTATTATTTCATTTTTACTTATTCTAAATGATCAGAAGAAAAACATCACAAAAATAAGAACAGAGATGACTGAAATGAAAGTCACAAAAAATAACAGAAAAAAGTCAATGAAGCTAAAATTCTTGGAAAATAAAACTGAAAAACTTGTAATTGGATTATTAAAAACAGAGTAGATAGAACTTTCCAATCTCAAGAATGAAAGAGGGGCTGTCACTATAGAGCCTGCAGATATTGGAAGGAAATCAAGAAAAATAATTTTATGCCCATAAATTTATAAGGCCAGGCATGGTGGTGCACACCTGTAATCTTCAAACTAGGAAGGCTGCAGCAGAAAGATCGCTTCAAGTTTGAGTCCAGCCTGTGCTACATAGTAAGTTCAAGCCAAGCCTGAACTGCATAGTGAGACTCTGTCTCACAACAAACAAAATTTGTAATTTAACTGAAATGAATAAATTCCATGGAAAACAATCTATCCAGGTCTACTGAAGCTATAAATGCCCTCATCAGTACTTGCAGTAGAAAAAAATTCTAAAATGGTCCACCAGATACACACTCCCTGATCTACATGCCCTATACGATCTCCTCGTTCTGAGAGGGGGCAAAGTCTATGAATATATCATTCCCTTGATTAGGTTCTGTTATGTGGAAAGCATGAAAAGATTTTGCAGATGTAATTAAAGGGATTAATCACTTAGCTTCAATGTAATTGTAAGAGATTAGCTTGGGCTCCTTTCCTTCTTTCCCTGTCTCTTTCTGTCTTTATCTGTCTGTCTGTCTCTGTCTCTTCTTTTCTCTCTCCCTTTGGCTTTCTCCCTTCCTTCCTCCTTCCCTCCCTCCCTCCCTTCTCCCTTCTTTTTCTTTCTTTCTTTCTTTCCTTCTTTCTTTCCTTCTTTCTTTCTCTTTCTTTCTTTCTTTCTTTCTTTCTTTCTTTCTTTCTTTCTTTCTTTCATCTTTCTTTTCTTCCTTCCTTCCTTCCTTCCTTCCTTCCTTCCTTCCTCTCTCTCTCTCTCTCTCTTTCTTTCTTCTTTCTGTAGCAATAGAGATTGAACCCATGGACCTGTGTATGTTAGGTAAGCACTCTGTAAACTGAGCTCTACCCCTAGCCCCTTGGATTGCTTTTTAAGGATGTAGAGGTCAGCGATGGAAGAAGTTGGAGAGTTGTGAAGCAGCAGATACACTTTTCTGCTGTCTCTGGAGAAGTAAACTGCCATAATATTTAAAGCTGCAAAAAGACAAATTTAACCCACTTGTACTTGGAAGAGAATACTGAGTCCCAGATGAGACCTCATCCTTGCTGATAGTTTGAAGCCTTGTGAACCGCTAAGCAGAAGACTCAGCTAAGTCATGTCTAGATTCCTGACCCACAGGAACTGTGAGGTAATAAATTATTTTTGTTTTAAATCTTTGTTAATGTCTTATACAGCAATAGAAAACTAATATAGCATGACATATATTAGAAAAAGTAGATTAATAGTTAATCTTGCCTAAAAGTACTGTAAAGAACAATATGTTGAAAAATTCCCAGAAGTAATTCTTATAGAAATAGACATGTGGCTTAAAATTATTATGGAAAGGCAAAAGGAGTAGGATAAACAGTTTTTGGAAAAGAATAAAACTGGAAGACACACTGTGTAATATATTAAGACATATTGTACAGCTACAGAAATGAAGTCAGGGTGGCAGTGGCAAAGGAATAGACACATAGATCAATACAGCAGATGTAAGAGTAGAGAAACAGACTCATATATTTATCATCAAATGATTTTTGTGTGAGTGCCTATGTGGTACCGAAGGTTGAACCAAGGAAGGCTTTACCACTAAGCTGCAACCCCAGTTCTTTTTATTTTTCTTTTTTATACAAAGTGTTGTTAAATTGTGCAGGCAAGACTGTGATCCTCCTGCCTCAGCCTCCCTCAGTACTGGGATTACAGACAAATACTACTGTGCCCGGCCTATGACCAGTTGATTATGACAGTGCTACAAAGGCAAACCAATGGACAGTCTTTTAAATAGAAGGAGCTGGAAAAATTTGATATTCATATGCAAAACCAAAAATCAAACCAAAACAAAACAAAAACACCACAGTCTCTCAACATGCACTTGCACTTGTCTTAGTCAGTTTGGACTGCTATAACAAAGAACCAGAGACTGGGTAGTTGATAAAAAATAGAAATTTATGTTACATAGTTTGGAGGCTGAAAGTCTGAGATTAGGATACCCACATTGTTGGGTTCTAGTAAGGGCTCTCCTCTGGGTTGCAGACTGCTGACTTCTTGTGTCCTTACACAGTGGAAAAAGAGGAGTATAGAGCTTTCTGGGGTCTCCTTTAACGGCACTAATCCCACTCATGAGAGTGGGCACTAATCCATTCTCATGACTTAAATTACTTCCTAAAGCCATCATCTCCTAATATCATCACACAAGAAGAGGGAAGGTGGTAAGACTTCAATGTGAATTTTGGGGGCAGCATAAACATTCAGTCCATAATAGTGCTATATAAAAATTTACTTTAAATGAATCAAAAATTTAAATGCAAAACTTTGAACTACGTAAGACTTAGAATCAAACAAAGGTGAAAATCTTTGTGATCTTGGGTTAGGTAAAGATTCCTTAGATATGATACTAAAGAAAAATACATAATTAATTGGATTTCATCCTAATTAGAATAAAACCTTTGTGTTTGGAAAACATTGTTGGAAAATAAAAAGACAAGCCACAAACTGGGAGACAATATTTGCAAGACACATATCTGATAATGCCTTGTTCCCAAAGTAAAGAAATCCTACAATTAAATAATAAAAAGAAAATGAAATTAAAAGATGAGCAAAAGATCTGAATAGACATTTCATCAATAAGCATATGAAAAGACATGCAACATCATTAATACACAGGGAAATGCAATTTGAATCCATGCTGTGATACCACATGTCTATTAGAATGGCTAGAATGAAAAAATAAAAAACAAAAGCAAACTTGACAATATCAAATGCAGATGAGAATGCAGAACTACTACAACTCTCAAAAGATTCATGATAGGAAGGCAAAACACTATAGCCACCATGGAAAACTACTTGTCAGTTTCTTATTAACTTAAACATATACTTAGCACATGGCCTAAAATCTCTCTCTTATATATTTACTTAGGCAAAATAAATGTATGAAAGCTTGTGCTCATATAGAAAATTGTATGTGACTGTTTTATGGTAGTTTTATTTATAATTGCTAAAAATTGGAAGCATCTCAATTGTTCTTCAACTGGAAAATGAGGAAATAATGTTAGTGTATCCGATACAATGGAATACCGCTCAGTAATAAAGAGGAATAAACAAGTGATTCACCAGGCAACAGGGAAAAATCTCCAGCGCCATCTGCCAAGCGAAAGAAGTCAGTCTCGAAGAGTACACACTGTATGATACACTTATACAGCATTCTGTAAAAGGTAAAACTGTAGGAGCAGAAAAGATCAGAGTAGAAATTAATGGAACAAGACTAAAAAATAATACAAAGAATCAATGAATTGAAGAGTTGGTTCTTTGAAAGATTAAATAAAATTGATAAACCCTTAGGCAACCATACCAAAAAAGTCTCAAATTCATGGAACTAGGAATGAAAAGGGTGAAATCAATGGATCCCATGGAAACCCAGAAGATCGTCAATACCTATTTTGAGGACCTTTACTCTAATAAGATGGAAAACACAGAAGAAATAAACAGGTTCCTAGATACATATGAATTAGCAAAGTTGAATTAAGAAGATATACAAATTTTAAGGAACCAATATCAGTCAAGGAAATTTTAAAAAGTAATTAAAAATTTACCAACAAAGAAAAGCCCTAGTACTATCGGATTCACTGCAGAATCCTACAAGAAATTTAGAGGAGATCTAATACTGTTACTCCTCAGCCTCTTTAATGAAATTGAAAGGGAAACAATACTCTCAAAGTCATTCCTGGAAGCACGTATTATCTTGATACCAAAACCAAAGAAGGACCCACCCAAACCAGAGAACTACAGGCCAATCTCCCTAATGAACATAAATGCAAAAATCCTCAATAAGATACTGGCAAACAGAATATAGCAAATCATCAAGAAGATTCATACACCATGACCAATTAGGATTCATCCAATGGATGCAGGGATGGTTCAACATATGCAAATCAATAAATGTAACTCACCATATCAACAGAGCCAAAGACAAAAATCACATGATCATCTCAATAGATGCAGCAAAAGCATTTGACCAAGTCAAACACCAATTCATAAAATCTCTATAGAAAATTGGAATAGATGGTCTGTCTTTATCTCAATTTGCTAAAAGCCATTTATGACAAACCAACAGCCAACATCATACTAAATGGTCAAAAGCTGAAAGCTTTTACTCTGAAATCAGGAACAAGACATGGACATCCATTATTACCACTCCTATTCAATATACTTCTGGGAAAATTAGCCACAGCAATTAAAAAAGAGAAAGAAATAAAAAGAATAAGGACAGGAAAGTGAGAAATTAGATTATCATTATTTGCAGATGACATGATACTCTACATAGAAGATCCCAAAAACACCACCAAAAGATTTCTAGATTTAACAATTGAATTCAGTCACACAAGTAGATACAAAGTCAACACTCAAAAGTCAATATCATTCTTCTACACAAATAAACTCACTGAGAGAGAAATTAAGGAAACAACCCCTTTCACAGTAGCATAAAAAAAGGAAGAAAGCAAGCAAGCAAGCAAGCAAGCAAGCAAGAAATAGGGGTCATCACAATCCCTGACTTGAAATTATACTATAGAGCTAACTGTGACAAAAAGAGCATGGTACTGGCAACAAACCAAGGATCAATGGGAAAGATCAGGAGACCCAGAAACAACTCCAAACACATTCAACCACCTT